CATTGGAGGAGGAGGAGGAGGAGGAGGAGGACGGCTATGGGATCCTTGGTGCTCTCTGAGCTTGGTTGTTTTCTTGCAGATGTTTCATTACCCAACTAGGTAACATCATCAGTGCTAGAAGGGGTGGACTGTAGGGAGGAGGAGGAGGAGGAGGAGGAGGAGGAGGAGGAAGAAAAGGAGGAAGAGGAGGAGGATTGTGGGGTTCTTACTGTTTTCTGAGCTTGGTTGATTTATAATAATAATAATAATAGTAGTAGTAGTAGTAGTAGTAGTAGTAGTAGTAGTAGTAGTAGTAGTAGTAAAGTTGGAAGGGACCTTGGAGGTCATCTAGTCCAACCCCCTGCTCGGGCAGGAAACCCTACACCATTTCAGACAAATGGCTGTCCAGTCTCGTCTTAAAAACTTCCAGTGTTGGAGCATTTACTGCTTCTGGAGGCAAGCTGTTCCACTGATTAATTGTTCTCACTGTCAGGAAGTTTCTCCTTAGTTCTAGGTTGCTTCTCTCCTTGATTAGTTTCCACCCGTTGCTTCTTGTCCTGCCTTCAGGTGCTTTGGAAAATAGCTTAATTCCCTCTTCTTTATGGCAGCCCCTGAGATATTGGAATACTGCTATCATGTCCCCCCTTGTCCTTCTCTTCGTTAAACTAGACATACCAATTCTAGCAACCGTTCCTTATATGTTTTAGCCTCCAGTCCCCTAATCATCTTTGTTGCTCTTCTCTGTACTCTTTCTAGAGTCTCAGCATCTTTTTTACATCATGGTGACCAAAACTGGATGCAGTATTCCAAGTGTAGCCTTACCAAGGCATTGAAGAGTGGTATTAATACTTCACGTGATCTTGATTCTATCCCTCTGTTAATGCAGCCTAGCACAGATGTTTTATTACCCAAACTAGGTAACATCATCAGTGCTAGGAACATGATTTCCTAGCAACATCATCTCAACTCAAAGCAATTGCCTCTTGTTGGGAAAAGCCGCCCCACGTGTGCTTTAATTTAAAACCAATCAATAAATTGGCTTAAACTCTCGATCTGTTATTTTATTTAGTCATGCCCTTTGCCGCGGTTTGCCTATTTCTCTTTGCCCGGCAAGATAAGCCCATCTCTTTCAACCAATGTGATCTCAACAACCCTCACAATATTTTGCCAGCCCGGAAAAGATCTCTCACACACGAGTAGACAGAAGTCCCTTTTGCAAAAGCATCACAACAACTGGGAGGTCTAGAGAGGGGCGGGGTTAGAGCTGAAGGGGGCGGGGAATTCCTACATTCCTTCCCTTTGGCTGTCTCTTTCAGAAGGAAATCTCTTTCAAATACAGTCCAGAAAGGGGGGAAAGGGCCTTTGGAGAACCTAGAAAGCCAGCTTAATGACTCCTGTTCCCCGTCTCTTTCTCCTCCTCCTCCTCCTCCTCCCCAGCCCCCGCCCCGTCCATCTCCCCGTCTCTCTCTAATGAGAAAAAGGGTTTTCTAATTTATTGCTTTTACAGAATTGTTCCTCCGCAGAGGCACAAATAGCAGCATATCAATAAAGTCATTTGAAGTTGGATATTTCCACCTCTGTCCCAGCAAAAAAATAATTAAAAACGGATTCGCCGGATCATAAATTGCAGGCCACTGAGGAAGGACCCTCCTTAACCCTGTCAGCGCCAAGACAGCTGGGGGGAATGGGGCTAGGAACCCACAGGAGATGGGGGGGGCTGAGCTAGCTCCTGGAGTAATTTTGCTCCATTGAAAGGGTTGGAGACCCAAACCCTGACCATTCCAAGCCTCGTGACCTACAGATCACAAGGGGCCAGCAGGGTCTAGGTAGATACCTCCCCTCTTTGTCTATCCCCCACTTTGCTGAGAAGACAGAGTATCAGCCCTGACACGGAATTTCTCAACCGTGGCCACTTGAAAATGTGTGGATTCCAGTTCCCAGAACCACCCGCCTTGAAGGTCCCATCGGTAGGACTTAGTTGGTGAGAAGAAGTGAAATCTCTTGGGGACTGGAGGCTAAAGCACGTGAAGAACGGCCGCAGGAATTGGGTATGTCAAGTTTAATGAAAAGAAGGATGACAGCAGTCTTCCAATATTTGAGGGGCTGCCCCAAAGAAGAGGGGGGAGGGTCAACGTATTTTCCAAAGCACCTGAAGGCAGGAGAAGAAGCAACGGAGGGAAACTCATCAAGGTGAGAAGCAACCTAGAACTAAAGAGTGAAAACAATTAACCAGCAGAACAGTTTGTTTCCAAAACTTGTGGGTGCTCCATCCCTGGAGACTTTCCAGAAGAGAGTGGATAGCCCTTTCTATGGAATGGTATGAGGTCTCCTGCTTGAGCAGGGGGTTGGACTAGAAGACCTCCGAGGCCCCTTCCAGCTCTGTTATTCTGTCATCTGTTTTGTTCCTTCTTATGAGACATTTGGCATTTCCAATATTCTATTTCTGAAGCCCCAGGGATTTTTGTTAGATCTCCCTTGATTGGCTCAGCCAACTGCAGTTGAGTGACTTGTTAAGGGGGTGAATCAGTTCTTCCCTGTCTTCACCAGCCCTCTTGTAAAACTTGAGCGGCACTTTCCTGTTTTATCCAGGGATGGTTTGCATATATATTTATTTATTAAACCGATAGGCCACCCACCTCGCTGTCCAAGGTAACTAACATTAATGGACTCCTGACCAATTTCAGCACATTTTCGTTCTCAAATTTTGCAACCTGGCTATCTTTCTCTTCTACTACCTCTTTGTAAGAAAATAAAGAATCAATTTTTGGACTTTATTTGCCCAACCTCAGGCCGTCTTGAAATTTCCCCAGAGAGCAATGATAAGTATACCTTTGGACGGAGTCTCCGGAGACTGTCATGAAATAATATTGAACAGAAAATGACACTTTATATTGGAAAATCCCAAAGCCGGTGGCCAAACTAAGAGGAGAGGGAAGAAGAGGTTGGACAGCTTTAAATCACTCAACTGAGAAGACCTTCAAAGGCTTCAGATCTTCTAAATGCATCCTTAACTTCCTTCATCTAGTTAATTCTGGCCAGGTTATTAACCAAATCTTCTTCCCAGATTTAGTGACTGATTTTCAGGGTTTATAACCCACTTCTAATTCTGAGCAACTCCCCCAGACACCAATGGGAATGATCATAATAAGGACCAATCTCTATAATGGGCTAATTTCATTTTGGTGTCTTACCACAGGAAATTGTCCACGTAAAGTCAAATGTCTCTTGAGTTGGAGTCATGTTTGATCCCTGAGGTTTTCTTGATAAAAGTATGGACCTGGTGAACAGAGGGGTTTCCAGGACATTATTTTTCAAGTTCCTGTAACCCAAGAGGTCTCTTATCCTATGTAGGACAGTCTTAAAATTAATACCATCTCTCTCACTTCTGCTATAATGCAATCCACATTTGCTATCTTATTTAGAACTATCCTATTCTACAGAAGGAGATATAAAATACTGGACTGGCCCACTTCCGATGATAAGGGAGTGAGAGTCAAAATTTTGTTCACATTAAAAACAAAATAGAAGTCAAATATTGAATGAATGCATATCAAAATGAAAGATTAGGTACTTCTTTCGATAGGCTAGCTTATTATAGACAAATATATTTTTCCCCATAGGAGACATTTAAAAATTTGTCTCTCCCCATCCCACCTTGCAATTTGAAGTGACCCTCAATTGTCTCATGTTAATGCAGTATTTCTCAAACTTGGCAATTTTAAGATGCGTAGACTACAACTCCCAAAATTGGGAGAAATGGAGACTGGGGGATTCTGGGAGTTGAAGTCTGCCTAATTTGAGAAACAATGTCCTCAGTTTTTATGTGACATCATGTTTGAATAGGCACAAACTAGGAATGAAAAGGGAGAATCAAGAATGTGTGTTTTTGGCACCCAAGACTCACAATTTGGAGCAGCTACACATGGTAATAACTTTTTAATAATAACTTAATTGATAATTTGCCCCCCTTTGCCAAGGCACTTACACAATTAAAATATGATTACAATAAATAAACAGCAATAATTAAAACATCATAAAGCAGGCAGCCGCCAAATCAAAGCAAATATTAAACAAAAAACACACACAAATGGCAATTGTCAAAGAAGGCAATGGAGGGGTGGGTGAAAAATCCATCCTGTAAATCTCCAGTCAGCTTCACATCTAAATTCTCCCGTGAAAACTGCAAAGATTTTTGGCAGGCTGGCAGTCTTTGGGGAGGAGGAGGAGAAGGAAGAAAAAGGAAAGACAAATTTTTCAAAAGAGCTATAAATTAATCAGTTTTCTCGATCATGCAATACTCCTTTTTAACTGGAATCCGTCCCAGTTTTGGAAAAGCAGAAAAAGAACACCCAGATCTCCAGACGGTATTGTAATTCCTACCACAAAGTCAAAGCGGTGTTTTGAATATTCTCCCGACCTCAATCTATTTTAACAGAATTGTAGAGTTGGAAGATCTTCTAGTCCAACCCCTTGCTCAAGCAAGAGACCCTATACCGTTTCAGACAAATCACTGTCCAGTCTCTTCTTAAAAAGCTCCATTGATGGAGCATTCACGATTACTGGAGGCAAGCTGTTCCACTGGTTGATTGTCCTCACTTTCAGGAAGTTTCTCCTTAATTCCAGATTGCTTCTCTCCTTGATTGGTTTCCATCCATGGCTTCTTCTGCTTTGGAAAATAAGTTGACCCCTCCCCTCTTCTTTGCGGCAGTCCCTCAAATACTGGAAAACTGCTATCATGTCACCCCTAGTTCTTCTTTTCTCTAGACTAGCCCTATCCAGTTCCAGCAATCGTTCTTCATATCTTTTAGTCTCCAGACCTTTAATCATCTTTGCTGCTCTTCTCTGCACTTTTTCCAAAGTCTCAACATCTTTGTTGTAATGTGGTGACCAAAATTGGATGCAGCATTCCAGCTGTGGCCTTACTAAAATTTTAAGTTTTTTTTTTAAAAAAATAACTAGCAAAGATGGCACTATCAAGAGAGCACCTCAACTTACCTTCAACTCTGGTCAAAAATACTTACGGGAAAAGTAGCCTGGTCCCGAGTTGTACAAGTCCTTTATTCTGGTTGATGATTGTTCTTCTTATTGACAAGATCTTCTCAGCAATGATTTTGTGGCTTTACTTTCGCCCTCCTCCTTCATCCTCCATTTTTTGGGATTCATCTTGCACGGGGAAGACAAAGTAGCCCCTGGAGACGGATTGGAAAATACAGCAACTTCAGTCAACCTTTATCGACTCCCCAACAACAATTTGGAGCTTTAAAGCCATCTCCTTCATTTTCCAAAGGGACACATTTAGTCACATGGAGCAGTATTTCGTTTATGAGTGACCACAAACCCCTAGGATGATTGCTTTGCATAGCAATGAGAAAGGGAACTGGACTGATCATCCATAATCCCAGAAATGAAGGAAGGAATACAACAATCTTTGGTGAACCCAAAACAAACAAGAGAATCAGCCGTATTTCTAGTCCTCATGAAAAGAAACCTGGAAGAACACCGCAAGAGGTAGAAAGGGCTTAAGCAAGGTCTTTGTGAGTCAGACATTTTCATTTTGCTGGCCAGAAGACAGCAACGGGGAGGGGGGTTGTGTGTTCAAATACACACAAATTTTTGCAAGACCCCAGAGTCAACTTTGCTTAGCAAAACATTTTGAGAACCATAATTTATTTAAAGGTACAGAGTGCACATGCACACAGGGGGACCCAATCTTGGTCCTATTCCAATTTTGGATTTTTACGAATAGGAAAAGAAAGGTGTCGGGATTTATTTTATGACAAATCCTAAAGCTAAATTATGCAGAGCAATAAAATAAAAGCAAATTATAAATGAGGAAAAGGAAGGGATGATAGACGGAATAAATTAGGAGAGAGGAAGAAGACACCCATATGTGAAAAACAAAGACCTGTGTTAGCAAAACTACAGACCAACTGCAGCTGCTCCTGGTTAAATACTGGAAAAGCAGAACATTTAAAACTGAACTTTTGACAGAAAACAGCCTAGCTGGAAATGTAAAGCTGGAAAGCAAAACGTTTTGATTTTTCTTGACTGTTTCAGACAGACCTAGCCCCAAGGGATATGAAGCTGTGGTTCTATTTTGTGAAGAAGCACAAAGATGGCTAGCATATTTGCTGACACTTTATTTAAACTAAATTTGACCATTGGTGGTTGCACGACCTCCATACATGCCATACGCTAAATAAATAAGTCACAAGGCGCTGGGTTTGTGCAACTTACCAGCCCAAAACCATGACTTATACACCCCAATGTTCACCCTCCGAGAAAGCCCAAAGCAAACCTTTATGGCTTAGCGTGATGCAAGCCAAACATATTACATAATGCCTCTGACCCACCACAAGGTGGGCAGCATATAAATTGAATAACTAAATCCCTACATAACACAATAACTCAATGATGATATAACTAATAAAGGAGAATATTTGTAGCTCAGGGTTAAAATGAAGGGTCCTCGGTGGTCTCTGAGTTTGATTGCTTTCTTGCAAACATTTTATTACCTAACTAGGTAACATCATCAGTGCTGGAAGGGAGTAGGGCTTGCTCTCAATTTACTCCTCCTCGCTAGCACTGAGGATATTACTTAATTTGAGGAATGAAAGCTCTGCAAGAAAACAACCAAGCTCTGAGAGCACCCCTCAACTAACTCACCAAATAACAACAATGTGTATGTGCAAAATCCGTGTATTCTCTTGCTGTGCCCCCAAATACACCTTTGCCATTTTTCTTTGTGCCTCTTGCAAAAAACAGTCAGCTGTTGCCCAACAGAGTCAAATATCTGGAGTTTCCCCCAGAAAATGCATTGGTATATTCTATATCAATGAACCAAGTTTTTTGAGCTTTGGAGAAACGGAGGCTCGGCTCGACGGGTAAAGTGGATTCAGAGAGGACGCCCAAAGGCCGGACCGTTTTGTTTCTGGAGCGTCGCCGGAGAAGCGGGGGCTTTTTTGGCCACAGGTGCAAGGATGGGTTGGGTGAGTTGGAAAGAGGGCAGCGGGCAAGAGGTTAACCCTTGATTTAGGCTGGTCACCCTCTGGGGGTGTCACCGGTGGCAGGGGGAACGGGATGCCAAGCCACCGGCCCCAGCTGTCACTCGGAGCGATGAATTGCATGCTACGTGGAGGTGTTGACAGGAGCAGCTGGACTTCCAAGAGTGATGAAAAGGAGACCAAATTCATTTTGAGTTCAGACAGACCGGCTTGTTAGGCGCCGCTGGGAGGGGGGAAAGCACATGAGGAGGAGGAGGAGGCCACAACAGCAGACGTGCTCCCCCTCCTGGCTGACAAAGACCCCCACACCCTGGACGCCACTGCGGGAGTCTGGAAGATCAAGTCTTGCAGCGTTTTTCAAGCTTGGGCCCTTTATGACTGGTGGGCTTCGACTCCCAGATGGCTGAGGAATTCTGGGAGTTGTCGTCCCCCTATCATAAAGGGCCCGGGTTTAAGAAACGCAGACATAGGGATAGACCTTGACTTATAACAGTTCATTTAGTGACCTTTCCAAATTAGAACTGCATCCAGTTTTGGTCACCACGATGTAAAAAAGATGCTGAGACTCTAGAAAGAGTACAGAGAAGAGCAACAAAGATGATTAGGGGACTGGAGGCTAAAACATATAAGGAACGGTTGCTAGAATTGGGTATCTCTAGTTTAACGAAGAGAAGGACAAGGGAGGACATGATAGCAGTATTCCAATATCTCAGGGGCTGCCCCAAAGAAGAGGCAATCAAGCTATTCTCCAAAGCACCTGAAGGCAGGACAAGAAGCAAGGGATGGAAACTAATCAAGGAGAGAAGCAACCTAGAACAAAGTGAAGGAACTGGAACAACCTGCCTCCAGAAGCAGTAAATGCTCCAACACTGGAAGTTTTTAAGAAGAGACTGGACAGCCATTTGTCCAAAATGGTGTAGGGTTTCCTGCCTGAGCAGGGGGTTGGACTAGATGACTTCCAAGGTCTCTTCCAACTTTACTACTATTACATATTAGAGAACGGTACTGAAAAAGGGGACTTATGAGTGTTTTCCACAGTTACGACCATTGCAGCATCCCCAGGATCACTTGAAAATTGGGGATCCCATTGTAACTTCCAACTTCCAGTTGCTATACAAATGGTTGTAAATCAAGGATTATCTGTAGCCAGTTTGTCCCTTGAGACCGAAGGATATTTATGAACTTAGTTCTGGAAAGTGTAGCTTATTTATTTCAGTCTATCTGTTATAGCTACCCATCTCAGCAAGGCAAAGACCATCATTTTAAAATAGCCACATAAATAACAAATAAGAAGAATAATCAAAACCACAGAATTCTGTGCATATTGTCTGCTGCCCAATGAGGCACTGGGTCATCAGGAATGGTATGTTTCTGAGTCTCCCTTGGTAACCTTAAGGACTAGAAATGTGTGGTTTTTAACAGCAACAACACGACAAATCCTCTGCTTCTGCTAATTACGTGGTTAATTATAGAATCCATAAAGAACACAACCTTGCTTAGGTGCATCTTCTCCTACCGGTTGCTAGCGCAGATGAGGGCGTCCTTTTCTGGGGTGGCCATGAATTCAGTTGCTGGACCAGGTAGATAAAGGTAAAGAAGATACAGTTTCTCCGTATCATTTTCTTTAGGGTAAAAAGAAGAAATATTGGCACCCATGCAAGGATCTTCTGCTCATTCTAGAGCAGTTTCTCAACCGTAGCAATCTTAAGATGGGTGGACTTCAACTCCCAGAATCCCCCAAACCAGCATCGGTGGACTTGAACTCCCAGAGTTCCCCAGCCAGCATTGGTGGACTTCAACTCCCAGAATTCTCCAGCCTCGCAGATAAATCCTATTCCAGTCCCTTTCCCCTAGAGATAGAAAATATGCAGTATAATGCTATATATGTCTTTATATGCAGGCCTCTGTGTGTGTGTGCGCGCGCGTTACAAAATGCCAGGGATGTTTCGCTTTTATTAAATACTAAATTGACGAGGCCTGGCACTTTATTAAAGTGTCAGAGAGAGGGTTCCTTTGTTCTAATTAGGGATGCTAACAAGGCAGACAACGCTGTGGTTGAAGGCGCCCGGCTGTGGGCAGGTGTGCATCCAGCAACCGATGGGGTGTGCTATTGTTAAGTCACACCTTTTACGCTACGATTTGCACCTCGAGGCATCTCATTAATGCCCCTGTCTGACCAGACCCTCCTTGGACTGGGGCTTTAAAAAAATGGGCTCCCCGAACCATCTTTTACAGCAGGTTTTCCTTCGATGCAAAGACTATCACATTAATAAGGACAATTTGATTTAATTGAATTCCTAATGAAGGGAGATTTCTCCGGGATCGGCTTTGGCAGCTGGGCAAAACCAAGGGGAGAACAATACAAGGCAATGCATGTTTGTTTGTTTGTTTATTAGGGCTTTTTTTAAAATCCCACCTTTATTACTTTAGAAGTCATTCAGGACCATGAACGTAGCTAATTGTCCTATTTTGCCCACCCACAACAACCATGTTGGGTTGAGAGAGAGGGGCTGGACCAAAGTCACCCAGCTGGCTTTCATGACTAAAAGTGGGACTAGAACTCACCGTCTCCTGGTGATTGGCCCAAAGTCATCCAGTTGGCTTTCATGACTAAGGTGGGACTAGAACTCACCATCTTCTGGTGATTGGCCCAAAGTCACCCAGCTGGCTTTCATGCCTCAGGCGGGACTAGAACTCACCATCTCCTGGTGATTGGCCCCAAGTCATCCAGCTGGCATTCATGCCTCAGGCAGGAGTAGAACTCACAGGTCTCCTGGTGATTGGCCCAAAGTCACCCTGCTGAAGAAGAACAAGAGAAATGAGAAGTGACTTTTGTAGCTGCTTGGATGTACAACTACAATACAACCCTTGATTTGTGGCTAACCTGGTCCAGGAGCTCATCCCCTGTCACATCCTTAACCTAAAGACTGGATTAACCCACTTTCTGAGATCACACAATATCCTGAACCCTAAACAAGCTATGGCCCTTAAAAAGGAGATACGCAATACAACTATCCAAATCACGAACACACAAAATATCCTAACTGAGGTTAAGTCTAACTAAGGGTTAGTGGCTTGTTGGCTGATTGGATTAAGGTTGGTTGCATGAGCCAAGCCAGAATGTCATCCAGGATGCACGAGAATCGTGGTTAGCCAGATTCTTTTGTCTTTTTGCTTCATCCGCCGATTATCGTGCTGTCTTGTTCACCACGAAAGATGCGGGCATTTTGTCTTGGTGGAACACAAAGAAGCACACAAGAGGTGGAAAGCTTTTCCAATTAGGGGACCTGAAGTCCTACGAGGGTTATTAACTCACGAGTAAAGTCCCTCCAGAACCCGTTTCCACAGCAGTGGGCAACTACGGTGATGCTGATTTTAATGATACAGCACGCACTGGCAAGGAACACCAGCACTCCACAAATCTGTGCAGCATGAAACAGTGGACACATTTGAGTTGCTAATGGCAGTATATGTGCACTTATACATAAAGCCAACCCCGGGGAGAGAATATCCTCATCCAAACACGACCCCCAGCAAATGCTACTCAATTCGGCCCTAAAATTACTTGTTTGGTCAGTTTTGCTTACTAACACAAACCGTTTTGAGGCCTGTCATTGAGCTGATGAATTGTCGGAGTTTCAGTTGATTAAATCCTCAACCAAATTTGAATGAATGGCTGGGCAGGTAAAAGGTAATTGTTTTCCAGTTTGCTCCCATTTCCTGGTAGGTGCCTAGCAGAGTAACATCCCTACGTGGAGAGAATGTCAAAGAAGCTTAAGAGGGTATGCAGACCATAAGCAAGCTGTGGTTAAGAAGAGAGAAACAGCCAACGTGAGATGGTGGTTGGGTTGTCTACAAAGTCATGCTAGATAGATATCCAAGAATAAGATGAAATGGTATAGGCCAGGGTTTCCTGCTTGACCAATGGGGTTGGACTAGAAGACCCCTTCCAACTCTGTTATTCCATTATTCTGTCTCTCTCCTTCCCTCCCTCCCTCCCTCCCAGCACTGATGATGTTACCTAGTTGGGTCACGAAACATCTCTAAGAAAACAAGCAAGCTCAGAGAACACCAAGGACTCCCCCTGAAAGCTTATCCTGCCATCTTCTTCTGGAGAAGACCTCTTAGGAGGATCCTTGGGCAGCATAGAAACCTAACTGTCAATCAGGGTTTAGAAATCTCAGAAGTAGCTTGATGGAAACGCTTAGCCAAAATCGAAGGAAGGGGTGACAAAATGGGCATTTGGGCTTCATGCACCCCCCTCCAAAGAGGGGTGCCAGCTCTTGAACTGTTTTCACAATGCCTTGTCTACAATTTCTTTTTTTTTTTTAACATCCTGGAAAAGGAAGAAGCGGGAGAAGAAGAAAAGAGGGGAGAGAAATTGCAATCTAATAACGTGAAGCTGCAATAACCGTTATAATTAATTTATACAAAAGGCTTTATGAAATTAGACTCGATGCCTCCCAGAGCCATTTAGAGGGAGGTTCGTTTCCTTGTTAAGCTATGGGTTGTGTGACAAAGAGAGGAAAGTGTGTGTGGGGTGAGGGGGAAATGGGGGAGCCGAAACCCAACAAGAAGTATTTTTCAATATTTCGTATAATTTTATATTCCTTCTAATATCTCTCCTGCTAATTTCATTATGAAACAGAGACGGCGCAAGTGATGTAATTATCGAAAAGTAATTTTGCAATAAATGGATTTAAATGTGTTGGAGCCCACTCTAAATTCGGTCTCTTGGCAAAAGGTAGGTGGGAAACCAGGAGCAGCTGGGATGGTTCTGGGTGAAAGACGAGGCGTCTTCAGGCTCCCAAGTTGGGGATCTCATTACATCAACTAATAACATCCACTTTAGCTGGCAACTGATTGCCAGATTTCCTTCCTTCCCCCCCCCCCCAGCCCTTCTTTCGATGAGCTTCCTCCGCCAGGATGCGTCTCTTCCAACCTATTGCATTAATACTCCTTTTTTAAACCAGCTTTTAGATTGCCGTGACATCCTTTTAGTGGGCAACCATGCCATTTTAAGCTGGGTATTTCTCTTAAAACATAAGAGATGAATTCTAAGGCTCCTTCACCTTGAGCTCACCTGGTGGTGACTTCTAGGCTAGGTTCCTGTGGTTTCTTGGTAACTAATCCAGGCTTTCTTCTGAGAGGTTTGATCAGTTTTCTGGCTGTCTTCCGTTCAAGGACTAACTATGGCCAACCTTATTTAGCATCTAAAGCCAGGAAGGCCTCCCCCCTGAGGCCTATGTATCTAATCAAGAGATGCCTTCAGGGTTTGTTTCTGAACTCAGTTGGACTTTAGACCAGGAACATGGGCAAGCTGTGCCCTACCCAAACGTTGCTAAAGAAGAGGACCAAACAGTGTGATCAACGGTCTAATGACTTTGATCTCTGGAATTGTTCAGCGTCAAGCAGATCTTGATGTCTTTCTATCTGTTGGCCAGTCTGCTGAATCCGAAACAGCGAAGCTCATGAGAAATCTCAATCTGAGTGTCTTTCCAGAGTCAACTTCTGAAATAATCTCAAGAGAAGAATCGGAGCCACCTGTCTGAAATGGTATAGGGTCTTCTGCCTGAGCAGGGGGGTTGGACTAGAAGACCTCCAAGGTCCCTTCCAATTCTATTACTATATTACTACTACTACTACTATTACTACTACTACTACTATTATTATTTTGAGGAGCTTTATCCAGTAATCAAATCCAATGGAAGACCAGGGAAATTCTAGATGGTTCATCAGACAAACGTGTCATATTTTCCTCAGTCACAAAACTGACTTATCGTGGCCTTGATATTTTTTCATGTTGGGCTCCTGTTCAGTTAGAAAGAAAACCCACCAAGTCTAAATTAGCCGCCTTCATTAAAAAAAGAGAGAGGTTCTCATTACGCTGCTAATTGCTAAATATGGATGCCTTCTCTCTTTTTTACTGGTCTGCTCCACCTCTAAGATGCTGACTTTTTTTTCCCCTGGGTTTTATTTTTTTTCCAGTCCTACACCAGGGCCATCCAAATGTTCTTACTTTTTTTCTTTTTCAACTGCCAAGACTGTGCAAACAGCACTCAGAACATTTGCATAAAAATTGGTTGCAACAAGCAATTAGCACTTCATTAATAATCAATGAAGTGCCAATTTACACATTGCCCAAAAGCAAATTGTAAATTCAATTTGAGTCTAGAATCGAGAATTCCAGGCCTGGCAAAGAAAGAAGGCGGGTTAGAGTGGGGGAGGACTTTTCAGCCCAGCCTCTGCTGGAAATGCACAACCTCCATCCTCCAAAACCACCCCTGCTTCCAGGAGCTGAAGCAAAGCAATCCAAAACAGGAATCCCTTTTTTTTCCCCATGGATCTATCATGGGTTGCGTTCTGGGATATCTATCTAGCATGAATGGAGCTATTGCAAGACCAAGTTAGATCTTCCCATATTAACTGGTTCATTGCTTTCATGTAGCAAAGAGATCTTGTCAATCTCTTTTCCATTCCCCTTTTTCCATTCTGGGGGGAAGATGTGCAATCTAATCATATCCTAAATTCACTCCAACTTTGGATTTAGAGTAAAACTAGACCCCCATTGGGTTGTTGGTTCCTTACCTGAATGTAGAAACAGAATAAGCACAGAGAAGCAAAAAAAAAAAAAAAAAAAAGAGCAAAGAGAATGGGCAGGACCTCTGATTTCCCACAGGCTTCCCCACTGACATTTCTTATGGGAAGTAGGCAGGAGCATTGGAAATGAATGCTACTCACGGCAGTTCTGAAGCAACCACAACTACAGGAGCCATGCACCCCAGAATTTGGATGCAATCTTTAAGCTAGTCCCTTTGAGGTAGGTGGATTCGAAAATGGTTGTCCTATGACGCACCTTTTTGCCCACCTGAAGATTACAAACAGACAAACAGAAGAGTCTGAGTAGTATATAGTTTGATTGATTTACTTTGACTCTGTCTCTGCAAAGGCTTTTGGGACAGGTTTTTTTAAAAGCCAAGTCTCCCTTCTTTAAAACTGGTCTAAGGGTAAAGACCCCAAATAAAATGAAAAGGTGATGAGCGACAGATGGGACTGGAGTGGAGAGGTGGCTCAAATCTAGTAAGATCGGAACCTGGAGCTCCCCAAACAACTAATGTTACAGCAATGCTGACTCCCAATTTCCTTTGCTTTCTAAAGTCTTACATTTATTTAAGAGATGTTTATCTCAGTTTTCCACTTAAAAAGCACTCAGTGCTGCTAGCAAGATGATTAAAAACAACATTAAAAATATAGCTGCAGAAAACCACTATTAAAAATATACGCTCTTTATTTTTGGCACTGGCTGAATTCACCCACCTACAGTCAAGTCTGGGAAGACATAAGCAAACATCTTGGATTTACTATGTTGTATGAATTCAAGCCTTGGGTCTTCCAAGCCTGGCTAAACATGGAAATTGGCGCCTTCTGGATGCAGAAATGGGTATTCTCCTACTGAATCTTGTGATGTTTGTGTTTCCAGTCTTGGACACTTACAGATGTGTGGACGTCTCTTCCAGAATTCCTGATCTAGCATGGCCATTAATGAGAATTCTGCAAGAAAGTCTACACTCATCTAGGAATCACTGCGGTTGAGAACTGTGAGCTACAGGGAAGCAGGTTGCAAGAACTGAAAATGATGGATGAAGATGTGTTTTTCTTGATGACCAAAGTCTAAGGACTACCTCTAAGGGCGTGACGGTCCCTGGCAATAGATGGGGACTGGTTTTAGATGGTTTTAAATTTTGGGAGGCTGAACAAAGAGGATACCGAGAATGGTTGGGTGAGCAACAGTTGACGTGTTTACCCAGCATGATAAGGAAAACAAAAAAAGTTAATAAATTTAAGCATTTAAGTTATTGATGAAGTAAGAAGAGTTGTTTAATGTGCAAAACATAAGCTAGATCGATCCGGGAGCACACAAATAACTGAAAACTATTGGCACACAAGTATTTTAAGGCTAATTGCAACCATATGCACTTTCTAAGGACATTTCACTTCTAATAGCACCCAAGAGATTCTGAGGTTAATTGATGCATCTGTTTACCAAGGATTCACGTTGTCTTGGATCTGAGCCCCGAGGGAGCCTGTTATTAAACTAAAGGGTTTAATGAAACACTAAAGAGCAGAGTGGCTAATATTGTAGGAAATTAAATAAAGAAAAAGGACAAACTTTATTTTCAGAGATGGGCATTGGAGAATGACCTAAAGCATCTCAA